TGTGACGGTACAACAATTCGAATCGATTATATTATATTATCGGAAAACATCGGGTTTTTCGAGGAAATCAACACCATTCACTTGTATTTTCAAATACTATAATGCAAAACTTCTCATTTATACACGTTTTTGAAATCATTCATGCATAAACCTATGGATCTTCACACTTTAGTATAAACAAGTGTCCTTTCAGAAAATATCGGATTTTTTGGGTTTTAGAAACTGCACAAAACATTTTCATAACAATCCTGCTTATGAACTCACCAACATCCCATATGTTGACATTTTTCAAAATAACTTGTATTCTCAGGTAACAGGTAAGCTGAAGAGTAATACCATGTATGTTAGGATGTCATGTTTTGAAAACTTTCAAACAATTTATGCTATGGAAATGTAATATTTAAACAATGTACTTGATGTGAACAATGTCAGTCGTAATGTATTAATGCATGGTGATGTTTATGTTATGTTTCATGTATATTTATGGTGATGATATTCAATTTAAGTCACGTGAGCCCTCGGACGTCTCCGCCGTCTGGTTCAGGGTGTGACATTAGATATCCTTTCCATGGCAGGATATAGGTATGGTTAGAGTATAAGTATGCTAGTGGCTAGGAGAATTCCTTGTTATACGTGCGCAATTAGGGCACTGGTGTCTTGGTATGCTACACTGGTAGGGTCTTTCCTGTTAATCGTATGGTACTGATTGGAGTTATGGTTGGTTAAGGTAACCATGGTAGACCAATTATCAGGATTAGGTACGAATGACCAGCAAAGGACTTAATTAAGAAGTGGTTAATGATAGGGTAACTAGGGAAGGTTAGTTGCTAAGGATATGGATATGCTAGTGTTTGCTATGTGTTTATGTTACATGATTATGTGATAGTGATGGCTTGGGTTTTATGCAGTTTAAGTTGGATAGCCTAAGAACTCTTGGTCTAATACCTGATTGTGATGTTCTTGTATGACTGTTCCCTCTCGGGTGGGTCATCTATTCGAATGACTATCTGATTCCTAACTACATATGATTTATGATTTGTATGAAAGATTGCGGTTAGATCACAACACTAATATGAAAGACTGCGGTTAGGGAGCCACATGCACCTTTAGACCTCATTTTTAGGTCCATTAAGCTTATACTCCCATGCAAGCACGTAAAGTTCATCACTTTACATGCTAGATCGATATTAGAAGCCTAGATATATCCTTTGGATGAGTGTTGTACATCAGAAATTGAGATATAAGACTTGGATAGCACCGACTCATCGAGTTGTTCTTGGAACTCGGTGAGTCCAGGGCTTGAGTCCGCTGTCTGCTGAGGTTTAAAGGAACCCAGTCGAGTGTTAGAAGGGTATTATAGGGGTCCAGGGGAGTGACTCAATATATTAGACTTAGCCATAAACCTGGTATCATAGGACTCGGTGAGTGTATGAACAGACTCGGCGAATCCAAGGCAATCTCCCAACCCTTTGAAGATGGACTCGACGAGTTGTTCATTGAACTCAACGAGTCGCAGATTGGGCATGTTCATAGGATGAAGGTGAACTCGACGAGTATTCATACAACTCGATGAGTCGGATGAAGGTTCATTCGATGATATTATAGAAGGAGAACTCGTCGAGTCTTTGCTAAACTCGACGAGTAGAGTCGGGAGGGGGTCAGATGAAGGAATAGGGACTCGGCGAGTCAGGTCAATTGGATGTTGACTTTGAGCAGGATATTGACTGTGGCCAAAGGTAAAATAGTCATTTTACCCTAAGAGTAGTTATCAGCTGCTAACTAAGTGTCTTTATGGGATTTATAGCCTGAGAATCGCCAGAGCAGCAGATAGAGACTTCTCACTCGGATTGACAACATTCATTCATACAAGGTGAGTTACCTTCTAGTAGCGGTGGGTCTAAGACCACAATGCCGACCCACCAGTAGGAGTTGTATGTTAGATGATTGTCTTTGTGATATTCATCTAGGTTTGCTACTACCTGATATGTTATATGTTGGCATGATATGTTATATGTGATAGTGGTAGTAGGGGGAGAATAGTCCCCAAGTTCAGTTGTTAGGAACGAAGGGTAGGTCGGACACATGAGATATGTCTGATAGTATGTTTATGTTATGATATATGTGATAGTAGTAGTAGGGGGTGGAATAGTCCCCGAGGTTCGGTTGTTAGGACCGAAGGGTAGGTCAGCTCCCCAGGACGACTTGACACGGGTAGGCCAGCACCCCATAATGGCTTGACACGGGTAGGTCGGCACCCCAGAATGGTCGTACCTGGTAGTCGGCACCCCATAATTGCCCGACAATATGTATGTTATGTGATTGTATGGTATGTGGTACGATGGGGAACTCACTAAGCTTTGTGCTTACAGTTTTCAGTTTTGTTTCAGGTAGCTCTTTAGCAAAGGGGAAAGAGCCGGCGCGGTAGCTGCACATCATACACACACATTGGATTTCCGCATTACGAGATTTCTTGGGATTGTACTCTGACAATGTTACTTATTTTATGATATGATTTTAGACATGAGATTATGGTTTACAAATGATATGACTTAATGATGTTTCCTGATAAATGTTTTCCAAATCATTATATTAAAACTGAAATTTTGGACTCGAAATTTGGGAAGTTACAGGTGCAAACCCTAAATATTAGGGTTTCATCCAGACAGCTTCTATTCATCGAGTCAGTCCCCCGACTCGTTGAGTAAATTAGTAAACTTCTCAGTCAAAATCGAGTCTACTCGATGAGTTGGGCCTCCAACTTACCGAGTCCCAGAGCAAAACATGAAATTACTTGAATTTAAATACGTATCAGGAACCGGGTGTTACATTTTAAAAATATAATTCCTCCAACCTACCATGACACTAACTAGCATCAATAGTCCCTGACCCTTTCACCAATGGGGCATAGATATTGTCGGACCATTTCCATCCGCCCCAGACAGAGATAAATTATTGTTGGTCGTCGTCGATTACTTCACTAAATGGATTGAGGCTAAACCTCTTACCACTGTCACAAGAAAACATATGATAAAGTTTATGTGGAAGAACATTCTCACACATTTTGGCACCCGAAGGATTCTAATTAGCAATAATGGAACCTAGTTTGAAGGCATCCCCTTAAAGGAACGGTGTAAAGAGAAGCAACTTCATCACCGATTCACCTCATTGGCGTATACCCAGGCCAATGACAAAAAAGAGGTGTGGAATAAGATAATATTCAGTGGAATTAAGAAGTGCCTAATAAATTCTAAAGGTTCCTACGTTAAAGAATTAGCCACAATGCTCTGGACGTATCCCACGACCTTGAGATCCAGTACCAGGGAAACACCCTTTAGCCTAACATATGGCACAGAGGCAATACTCCCACCTGACATCCTGGACGGATCACTATGGGTGATAGAATTTGAAGCAAACACCAATGAATTTGGACAATGTCAGGACTTATATATGCTTGATGAGAAACACAAAGCCCCCATCTCCGCTAAGCTGCCTACAAAACTCGCACCAAGAATTACTACAATCGGTGTGTATGGGTGAAGAACTTCAAAGTATGAGAATGGGTATTGAGAAAGAATAAATCTAGTCATGCTCAACCCCATGGAAAGCTAAGTGTCACCTGGGAAGGCCCATACAAGATAATGGAGATGCACCAGAATTGCGCTTGTGTCTTGGAAACAGATGACGAGAGGCACATCCCCCCGAACTTGGAACGCTCCTAGATCAGGGAGAAAAGATAGAATAATACACATCAAGGGCATGTGGAATGTGATCTAATCTAAGTGGATAATCACATACTAACATTTAACTCCAGTTCTAGGCCTTATTATGTGTCAAAGTTTAGTGATTTTTGTCATCATTAAATAGTGTTGATATTTCCATAACATTGTCAACAGAATGATAGAGGTTAACTACTTTCAAAAATAATTTAGATGTTTATTATTATTATGCAAGATTGATATCACTTCAATAAGATGTTGTGCACCTTTACCAAGTGATAACAAGGACTGATCATCCATGTGACTTGAGCGAAATCGATGCAAGGATGCAACCATAGGCTTTGACGGCTCATAACATTTCCCTAAACGTGTCACCCTAACTTAAAGGACCATTACCTTTACCTGTGACATGAAACAAAGGCTTTAAAGGCTCATAACCTTTACCTTGATAATGAATACCTAATTACTAAATGCCTCGAGGTGACAATCTCGGCCTAACATAGATGAATAGGGCCAAGATGCAACTCTCATCGGCCCAAGACTTAGAAAAAGGCCTTAAAGGGTAACTAGAAAACTTGGCTTAAATTTTATTACACTAATAAATGTAAACTATCCAAGGTCCATAAGAAAAAGGCTATGAAAGGCCTTAGCCTAAAACATAGGCTAATGACTCGAAAAAAAGGACGAACCCCAAGCTCACGAGCACGAACTCTCATGCCAAAACCAAAAAACTTTGGTTAAGTATAAATCCTAAAATAACAATTCAAACTAACCTAGTAAAACAACTAATTTGTTAAACCAAACAAATTTCACCTATCAAAGGGAAGAATCTTTCGAGTCTTGACACCCTACAAAGCAAGTAGGATTCATTTCCAGTTAATTCCTAAGGCCAACACAAACCTTTGGAAATAAATCCCTCCAGTGGGAAAAACATGAACAAATGCACCTCATAGGCCAACATTAACCCTTGTGAAGAAACCAAACCAATGACCAATATAAGATGTTTGAGACCAAAACAAGCATGCTTTAAGCAAAAGATAAACATACCATACGTAACGAATTAAAACAAATTGTCTACCGGACACACCCTGGACTTAGAAGAAGACCATGTAGGGTCGCAAACTAAGTTAAACAGTTTTCAAATTTGTTTCTAAAACATGATCACCAAAATAACAAACCAAGGGGAGATATGAGAATGAGAGATGAATTACAAGGTGGATTGAACAAGGGTCCAACATTCAAAGAACTACCTTGTGGTGGGTTTCCGTCGGCATTAGAATTACGTCATACGTCATCGAGGCCCGCCAAATCCAGTTCACCTAAACGAAAATATGAAGCGAAATTTGTCTCCATAAAATCCATCTTGGAGTTGTACGTTTCTTTGGTATGCTCCACAACAACACTCGACTCTTCTGGAATAAACTTATCAATGATCACCTGCTCCCGTACCGCCTGTTTACCACCTTTAATGCCGGAAGCCAAACACATTGACTTCATTCGTCGGACCCCTAATGTGAACTCAATGCTCTCAATGACCTGATCCCCGACACGAACAATACCCTTTTGGAGTATCCATGCCATGTCCACCTCTAAAATCCTTCTCTACAAATCCTCAATTTCCAGCTACTCACCCTGCTGCTTCACCTGGTCTTCCAACACTTTCTTCTCCTCCATAAAAATCTCCACTTGCTGAGAGAGGTGCTTCACTTCATCATCTAAGCTTGTCACTTGGTCCTTTACTGAAGCTTTCTCCCTGACCAATAGTGTTGGATTAGGCGTCTAAGCCCATAACTAAAATTAGTATGTACTTGATTTGAGAGTAGCATGCTCCTTTTGGGTTGCCTTTACCCTAGCAACTTGATAGGATGACTTTTGGAGAGAGATGTTGAATTTATTATTTAGAATAATAAATTGTTTTATTAACGTATTATGAAAATAATGTATTAATTAGGAGTCATGTTATTTAATTAGAAATTAATTTGGAATTAATTTCGGGATTAAAGGAACTGATTAAAGGAACATGGGGCTATTTTGCAAATCATTAATAGTTGTGAAATTAGGCTAATGGACTCCTTAGAATGGAGTGGATGAAAACTATAGGGAGGCCCTATAGATTTCGTCCAAGGCTTCCTAATAAGGGTCCATGGGCTTCTTAAGCCTTAAGCAGAAAAATTAGGGTTTCCTCCAACAAACCCTGGCAACCCACAACTATATAAAGACCCCACTGCCTATGATTTTTGGCCTATGCATTCTTGATACAAACCCTAGCCGAAATTCTTAGGGCATCCCTCCTCTCTACTCTCGTCCTTTTGCTAGCGGTGTTTGTAAGCCATTAGAGGTGCAACATTTGAGGCACTAAGCTTTCAAGAGTCAAGGATCTACAAGGAGTTCTTGTTATTACTACATAACAAGCAAGGTAAACATAAAAACCCTTTTATTATATGACTTCTGAATTAAATATGCTAGATCTAGGGTTTTGCTTTGGTATTCAATTTGCATGTTCAACTAGTGAAAAACTTAGATCCAAAGCAATTAGGGTTGCATGATCACATGGGATGTAGTTATGCTCAAAACCCATCATTGGTGACACAGTGTAGGATGTTCTTCAGTTGAATTTGATGCATATGTGAATTGTCCAAAGGAGGAGGGAACAGATTCGTCAACTTGTTCATTAGACTCGACGAGTTCATTGCAATAACTCGACGAGTCGGGCTGTCAAATCCATGATTTTTCGATTTTGATATCTTTTTTTATTAGGATTATTACCAAATTCGTTTTTTAACGCCTAAAGTTGAATTTTCTGGAAAGGTAAATCTATATCTTTATCAAATTAAAAGATTTGGTCAAATTTTAAGATAAAGACAAATTTAATTTATTAAGTTAATTATTTAAAATTTGATCTAATATTTTTGAAGGGTTTTAAAAGTACATCATTTGGTTTTATAATTTAAAATTTGATTAAGTAGTTTAATTTTGAAATCTTAAATTTTAGAACCCTATTATATTAAAAAATTTAAAATACGCCCTTATACTATTATAAAATTAAAAGTTTAATTTATATATATGTATAAGAAAAGGTCAGTCTTACCGTTAGTAGGCCTCATTCACGAAGCAGGTCTATAAGGGGGGTATAAGGAAACTTTCTATAAAATGGCGGTTAAATGGGTGTCCACTCTCACCCACCGCTTCCTTGATTGGTGGATGATCGTTAGCCGAACGGGTATGATAGGACATTAATCTCTCGTTAATAAGTATAATGATAAATATAAAGTAACTAAATGTTTAAAAAATTCTCAATATTAGTTACTTTAGGAAAATGTGAATTTGATGCTAATCCATGAAATTACACATTACACTTTGTCAAGTCGTTAGTGGAGTGTGTGTGGTTAACCGACACACTAACTTGGACTAACAAATGGTGGCAATGGTTAACTTGTAAATTATTATTGATTGATGAAGCGTATGTGGTTAACCGACACATCAATTAGGTGGTAAAATGGCATCGAGAGTACCAAGCTAATTTGCATGGTTATTCACATCTTGTTTGTGATCCTCGGTATCCCAGTCACAATTGGAAAGAGCATAATCGAGATTAAACATGCCATTGAATAGTTCAATAAATCTCAAAAGATCTTGAATTTCATTTCATATAAAAACCTAATTCATTTTCATGGTGGAATTGGTAAATCGTCATTTACCTACCTTCAAATAGTTTACAATTAGATTACAACATCCCTCTTCTGAATTCTGAATTTTTTTTTGGGTCCTAGCCTTAATATTTCATTTTGGGTGTTATATTAAGGATTCCTTATCTAATCAAAACGTGTCCTTCTTCTTTTGCAGATGTCTACCTCAAACAATGCTTTCAGTTCCTCCAATACTTTCTCGCTCTTAAGCATTTGTGTCAAGGTGACATTAGATGGATCCAATTGTAATGATTGGATTCATAACATCAGAATGGCCTTGCGTTTCAAGGACAAGGAATACGTCCTCGAAAAAGAGCTGAACGAGATTGATGAATCACAGGTTACTCCTGAAGAAATAGCTGAGTATAGAGCACACTATAAGGATGCTGCCAAAGTATCTTGCATTATGGTGGCCGCTATGACTCCTAAGCCGTAGTGGTTCTATGAGGGCTATTGGCTTTACGAAATGTGCAAGCACTTGATGGAGAAGTACCATGAAAGAGCACATCAAGAAATGTATGAGATAGTCAGGTCACTCATTACCACCAAGATGAAGGATAGAGATCACAACCCACCTGCAACGCATGTAGTGCTATGTGGATCGTCTCTTGAAGCTTAATTTACACTTTGATCAAGAGTTATCTATTGACATAGTCTTGAAATATTTACCTCCTTGATATGATCAATTCAAGATGACTTATCATTTGAGCAAAGTGGAAGTCACATTAAGTAAACTTCAAGGCTTGTTGAGAACCGCTGAAAGTGGATTGAAAGGAAAAGCCATTAAATCCACTCCTCCTACTCTGCTCCAGTCATGGCTATTGGACAGGGGAAGGGGAAAAAGAGGAAAGCTACCACTAAGCAAAGCTGGAAGGGAAAGACTCGTGATGGGTCTTCTAGTAGTGGACCCAAATGAAAAACCAGTTCTGCTCTTCTTGCCTCAGATCCAAAGGAAGCTATGTGTTTCTACTGCAAAGACAAGAGGCATTGGAAGAGAAGCTGCCTAAAGTACCTACAAGACATTAAGGTTGGCAAGATCAAGCCTACCTCCGCAGGTATTTACACTATTTTGTCTAAAAATTCATCGCATTCTAATTCTTGGGTCTTTGATATGAGATGTGGTTTTCATATTTGCACTGACTTGCAGGGACTAATTAGAGAAAGTAAGAATGTGTAGCTTGGGAAGATGAACCTGATATTGGGCAATAGGAGATCATCACTTGTTACCAAGATCGGCGTTTATTATTTAAAGCTTCGTATTGGATTATGTTTAGACTTAAATAATTGTTGCTACTCGTCAGAAATGATGAGGAATATTATTTCTTTTCATGGTTTGTACAGACAAGGTTTTAGATATTCTTTTAATAATGAGAATGGATCTATTAATGATTATTATAATGGTGTATTTTTCTTTGAAGCATTGCCTTGTGATGGTGGATATAAAACTGTGATGGTTATAAACAATTTTGGAAATAGTGTGTTGCATATTGATTCGTCTAATGTTTTAGACAAAGCATGCTTTTGGAATTGTCATCTTGGAGATGTCATTAAGAAGCGTATTGCCCAACTCCAAAAGGATGGAGTGTTGGAGTCGTTTAACCTAAGGTCAGATGATACCTGCGAGTCTTGTTTGATTGGAAAGATGACTAAATCACCTTTCACAGGTTGCTGTGAAAGAGGTGATGGATTTTTGGATCTCATACACATCGATGTGTGTGGACCCTTCAGATCCGCCAAAAGGGATGCAAGTCCATTTTATGTGACTTTTATCAATGATTATAGCAGATATGGATGTATCTACTTAATCAAGCATAAGTCAGAAACCTTTGAAAAGTTCAAAGAGTTTAAACATGAAATTGAAAATCAATTAGGTAGGACGATCAAGATGCTCAGATGCGATAGGGGCGGTGAGTATCTTAGTATCAAGTTCCACGACTACCTCAAAGAATGTGGAATTGTTTCACAATTGACACCTCCTAAAACACCATAGCTTAATAGTGTGGCTGAGAGGTGTAATCGAACCTTGTTGGACATGGTTTGTTCCATGATGAATCGAGCTTCACTCTGATATTGTTCTGGGGGTATGCCTTAGAGACTGTCTCTCATATCCTTAATCTAGTCCTGACAAAGAAGGTTGCCAAAATACCTCACGAGATGTGGACAGGGAAGTTTCCCTCGTTGGCACATATCAAGGTTTGGGGTTGTGAAGTTTTCATTAGATGAGCGACTCACGAAAAGCTTGAACCTCGAAGTGAGCGATGTATTTTCATCGGCTACCCACAAAATTCCTTTCGGTACTTGTTATACAGACCTAGCAAGAACATGGTCTTCGTAGCACGAAGGGCAGTTTTTTGCGAGAGGGATCTCGTATCCAAAGAGGACAGTGGGAGTATAATTGATCTTAAAGAAACTCAAGATTCATGCGATGAAGGAACCTCTAACACTAGTGCTCAACCTGAGGAAGAAATTCTTGTTGAACCAATTGACGAGTGTTTACGTCTTAGAAATTCCACACGAGTTAGAATAACACCAGAATTTTATGATTTTCATATTACTACAGATGGTGATACGTTTATCAGTGATAGTACACTGGTATATTGGAATGAGCCTTTATGTACAAGGAAGCCATGGCGGGCCCTGAGTCCGCTAAATAGAAAAAAGCTATGGACAGTGACATCCAGTACATGTATGACAATCAAGTTTGGAACTTGGTTGACAATGTACTAGGTCGTAAGATAGTTGTGTGCAAATGGAAAGGTACACACGTTCAAGGCATGAATGGTTGTGAAGGGCTTTACTCAAACCCCAGGGGGTGATTATGATGAGACCTTCTCACCAGTGGCAAAGATCAAGTCTATTAGGGTTATGCTAGCCATAGCTGCATTTCATGATTAT